TGCAAACAGAGGCTAAAACAAACCCAAAACCCCGTATATTCTCATTTCTCCCCTCTTGCAGTCCTCCAATCGTTCCATTCCAAAAATATTTCAATGAATTCGAAACATTACACTACAGTCGGAGGAAAGAGAAGGAAGCATCTTCATCTGGATGTGCCTCAAGCCTTCATCTCGGAATTAGCTTGGTTTAAAGTGATGTTATACGTGGCAACCCAATCATCGGAAGATCTCTTTCGTATGGCATCTGTGTGCCCATTGTTCAATAGGTTGGCAAACACTCCACAAGTGTGAAACACAATTTCAATGGAAAAGTACCAAGACCATCCTAACTGGTACTATGCCTCAACGCAGGTCCGGCATTTCGTGGAACAATGCAGGGCTTGCGAGAATTGTGAGGCGATATTTAGAGAAGCGTTCGACGTGTTTTTCAGGCAGGGTAATGTGGAAGCATTGTCTGGGATGCGCGTTGCAGCCACGGTAGGCCATCTGGAAGCGGCATATCTTGTTGGACTACTTGGCATGTCCGGAATTGGTCAGTCGAAAGAGGATGCATTAGAATTCTTGTGTTCTTTGAATCAACGTAACAACATTGATATGAAAGGAACCAGGGATGCTTTGAGACGATGATTAAGCGGACTTTTCTCTGTTGGAAGACATATCGTAGATATGTTTCACTATGGGAAGATTAAGTTCAATCAATGCAGTGCTTGTAACAACAACGACTGGTGTTTTGTTATTCCAGGCTGGCCTAGTGAAGAAAAGATCAATCCTGCCTTCTGGACTTGTTGCAATCGATGCAAATGGCACCGTGAGAGTGTTTTTTGATTCAAGGTGATGCGTGTCTATGTTGTGCCAGGGAATCCATACCCTTATAATTAGTTGTAGTATATTTCTACGGTTTTTATGCGTGTCTATGTTCTACAAATGTTGTTTTCCATTTAATGTTTTAATCTATTTTGTCTGGTGTTTGTTTGTGCTGTCCTAAACCGTTTTATATATAAATGTATAATATTTGTTATATAGTGGAATTATTACTGACATAATTGACGGCTACGAATGACATTTTACTGACACAGATATTTTGCACAACTGCAATCTTAATATTTGGTAAACGAAAACGCATGCATGAAGTGAGTATGTGTCTTTTCACCGGTTCTTGGGAATGACATTTTCCCACTTAGCATATCCCAAATGATTGGGTTAC